GTTTAAAACAGGAGAACGATTTCCAACTTTCGTGTGTTAATCAATTTACCTTTATATCTTATTTAGGTAAACTATTGTAAATAAAATACATAATCAAGTATTTTGAAACGCACTTGGTTATTGTAATATATGTGTATTCATGTTTATTTGAAATTTAATTGTGTGGAAGCCCTCTTCTTCGCACCTTAGGTGTTTGTGGATGCGAGTGTCCAGAAAGGAGAAATACAAACTTTATTTCAATCTATTATTGCTGCTTTTTGTGCAATTTTTATTATATATTAAGGATAACAATTCTAGTATATATCATATCGATGCACCTCACTTGCCATCTTATTCAATATTAGCGACTAATTATTTATGAGCTACTGATCTGCATTCTCAAATAAATTAAGGTCAATAACCGAGTGTCTTGGCTTGTCGAGTTCAAACGTGTATATTTACAGGGTTTATTGTTTCCATCTATTTTTAGAAAAGTTTGTACTTGTGACAGTTTTATGAAACTATTATAAATGAATTTTGTGCTTTGTTTGGACTTTTCTATAATATTAACGATTCTGGGAGATCCCAAGACTTCGTTCGATTTTATATAATTATATATTTATATTCAATTTCAAATATTTTATTGGATAAAACATGTGATTATATGAAATTGCGTAATCCAAGTGTACAACATACATGACATATACAACATGATAAATAATGTATAGATATATCTATATATATATCTTTTTCTGAATGTATAAATTGAATTACATAAGTTAATGACAAAAGTGTCATATTTCGTTCAATCATAGACCGTGACTCCTAAACAACATAAATGAAAATCTTCAAAAACTTGACTCGAATTTTGTTGATATAACATAAAATTATCAAAATTTGATAAAGGATACACAAAATATGTTTGTTGTATATACATACCTATTTTAATAACTGGATTCTTCCTTTGGAAAATTGGGTTACAATAAGAGCTTGGTTGTTGTTTGCTTAACCTCCAGTGGCAAATATTTCATGCATTTTTATGACGAGAGAAAAATAGCAATTAATACAAAAGGTAGCTCCTGTAATTGGCGGTCGACCGGGATGAAGGGCGAAAAATTTGGGATGCCACTGGAAAAAAGGATATATTGGGTAGGACAGAAATTTGGCCTTGCAACAAGACCCATCAAAAGTTGTTGCAAGGTTTTTAGCATGCAAAGATCGTGGCATTCTCTCAACACGAATCATTAGATTAAACGTTCCCAATATGACCGGGCGTCACTGCGAATTTATGCGTCTCGCACAGCAAAAAGGACTTGATTGGACAAGCGTTTTACTGCCGATTGGAAGAAGACCAAGGGATGACCATATTTCTATACACCAGTCAAAAAGAGAAAAAAAAAGAGACGTACCTATATTATTATGAGACAGACTTTAAGCAAGAGCTTCTCAATTAAAATGAAATAACTGGGATTTATCTAAACTTTACTTCTGATTCGCTACATAGATGAATAACTCAGCGTTCATCGACTAAGGTTATTTAAATCTATATCAATAAATCTGAAATAACGATACCACAGGTACAGTAAAGTCAGAACATTCAGAAACTGACAACGAGGGTCGGTTGACATCTTAAACTTTACGAAAAAGCGATGATTTCAATTTTTAAATTGTGAACGTTCCATTTCTGTGAAGCGACATTCCAGCTGTGCCTTCACATTGACTATTTATACGATACGAAACGATAGTATAGGGCTTGGGTTTCCTTTCCTATTTTCTTGGTAGAGGGTTGCTACTTGCAAGGACGCTGATTACCAAGGGTTTCAAATGGTAAAGTTAGATGCATCCCTATGAAGGTTTTACGGACGCTTTGCCTTGTTTTGATGGGTTAGTGTTCTTAACAAACTTTATAACATAGCTTTCAGTAGTATATTAAAGTGCAATCTTTGTTGGCTTTCGTAAGATAGATTAATGTAAGATTTTTGAATTTTGAAATTTGAATTTTGAATTTTGAATGATCCTTCTCGGCTTTCGTAGAATTATACTATTAATTTTCCCTCAACTTAAAGCATTTCAAGATTTTCTACAGTATTTGTCTATTAGTGCTTATATTGTTTGTATGATATCAGTTCTCTTTGATACAATAAATATGTATACTTTTCTAATTTTGACTTTTTCATTTGGTATTGTTATTATATTATTCAAAAGTTCATTTGAGCGCGATTTACTATAACTCAAATTACAGGTAAATTCCGTTAATTCCTAATGTCAAAAAATCACGTTTCTCCAACAAGAAACTCTTTACCTGAATACAAAAATATCAAATGTTGGAGAAACGTGATCACACCGCTTATCCATTGTATCTACTTTATTGAACCTTCATATACTTAATATTTTTTTATAAAGCTTACATCTTATATTTATATTTCTATCTAGATAAATTCAAACACTAATGTCATTATTTTATTTTGATTCTGCAGGATCTTTGTCCTAATTCTGAGTCTGTTACTCGTTTACCTTACTTGAATTCGGATGTTCATTGATTAACTTTGATATTATTTGTTTTAGGATGCTGAAGTTCGCATAATTATTCCAGAACAAAAATATAAGTATACAAGGCAACTTTTTGAGGCGAAAGGGAAGATTTCATTAAAAAACGTATAACTTTTACACTTCTACAAAACAATTATTTTGCAAAAACATCTAATACATGTATCCCACCTCGTTTGCATAACCAGTTGATTTAGTTGCAGCTTGTTTTTAAAGTTTTTTTAAACAAATACGTTTAAAAAGGAAGAAGCCAACTGTTGTGTTTTTTATTTGTATTTCTCAAAAGGTGCCTGTATAACTTCATGACAATATCAGAGTATCAAAAAGAATAAAAATGATATACAAAACGTGTTAAGCCATACATACAACAGAAAGTTTGCCTTAATAGTGAACTGTTTGACTGGTGACCAGACTAGGAATAAATATTATATAAAAAGCAAAGGAAATAAGATATAATGTTGACTCTTTTTATTCCATTTGACGCATATTCGAGAAACAGTTTAACCAAAAAAGAAAAAATATAATATTTCAAAGAAATAAATTTAACATTTCAGTGCTGCAAATATGCGTTTATCTAATTTATACAAGTTTCCATATAACGTACTAAAGTCTTACCTTAACTACACCTTTATAACTCTCTTTATATACCTATATAGAGTTATTTCCTTTCAGAACGAATGGTCATTCTTTTGAAGAAACAACCCAGTCGCTGTTCATTACTTTTACAAAAATCTTCTTCACTGAAACCTTTTGGCCAAAGTGAAACAAACTTGACCACAATCAATTTAGTTTTAACGCATTTTATTTGCATACTTAACCAAAGGGATTGGACACAGACTGAAACATCATTAGTGACGTCTTCTCAATGTACAAATATAAACACAAAAACACTATGCCTAGGAGTTTTTTTTTTCGTGGTGGGTTAACTCACAAACTGATAAAAAAGTTTATTAGCCAGCGACCCAGTTTACACACCAAAACTAGTTTCTACAAAAGTAGTTTCGCCAACATGGTTTATCGAAGTGTAAACCTAGGAAAGAAAATCTAACAGACCAATCACACTCAAGTATTTGTTGATAATAAGGAATAAAAATGTATCGGTTACGAATTATGAGTATTAAACACATGTTTAATGCCCTCGCCGCTAGGCGATGGGGGCATTAAGTCTATCCCTTGTCCGTCAGTCCACTCCGTCCGTCGCGTACGTTCCCAGAACTGGTTTCAGAGAAAAACCTCACTTGTCCCACAAAGTGAGCTAAAAATCTGTGATAATGAATTTAAATCCGAAATCAAAAATTAAAAAAAAAACTGTGATAACTAATTCCACAAATTCGTTATCACGAATTTAATCCGTTATAACCAATTATACAATTTGTTATAACGATTTCAATTCGTTATAACAAATTACAAAAAATTGTGATAACGAATTAAATTCGTAATTACAAATTACAAAAACTGTTATAACGATTTCCAGCAATTCGTTATCACAAATTTAGTGTGTTATAACAAATTATACAATTAGTGATAACGATTTAAATTCGTGATTTCGAATTCAAATTGTATTTTAGGAAGGTCTTAAATGGGCTTCCGTATATTACTGTGTTAGTGCTCTGTTTTAATGTCAATTTAGTGTACTTTTAGGTGCTTTATTTCAATGAATATGTAGTGTAACTCAAAATTTAGTCTTTTTCAAAGAATAATTACTACAAATTTAATATATTTATGTTTTAATTGATATTATTTACTTGTATATATTAATGTTTTCACCTAAATAATTTCAATTGCTTGTGAATAACATTGTGCCTATAAATTCATTTTGTGCTTGTGAATTTTATTTACACAAAATGTGCTATGAATTATTAAATAAAATATTGTAAACGAAACTATTCTTTTTCTTTATTTTCCACAAGATTTACCTGGATTTACCTTGGTTCATTAGTTTGTTTACATAAAAATTCTGGGAACTCCAACATAAAATTTTACTATTTTACCTATAAATTCAAAATGTAGGTATAGCCAGAATAAACCCCCGGACGGTACCGAGTTTCAATGAAAAGTGCTTCAAGGCATATAATAATGACTTGTTTCATGTCATTATTTACTCAGATTATTATGTTAACTATAGTTTGGTCAACATCGTTTGATAGCAATCTTGTGTTTTTGCCAATTTGGGGTTTTCTATACAGTATTCCATCTGAAACAATCCTTTACTCCATTTATTAGAATAAAATACTAGTACCAGAACACGTTTGTTACGCACAATTATATGAGATAAAATAATAAATATTCTTTCCTGATTCTCAATTTTCAAAGAAAATTTGTATTGCAATGGTAAAAAGAGAAAACAATTATTCTGAATATGTTCCTTTTCAATTGTTGAAAAAAATAATGCTTTTTCGCGGTAAAAATGTCATAAAACCAGAGAGAAAAACATAACACTCCCTTTTATAAAGTTAATTTAATAAATAACTTACCTAGTGACTTGTATTTTGCATATACCGAAACAATTGTTTTAATTCTTGCTTCATGCAATTACAGTAAAATTTTGATTCACCAACTTTAATATCTAGATCAGTGAGTTAAACGCATGAAAAAACAATATGTTCACTTTAATGTGATCGGTAAAATAAGAGGCAATTTTCCCACAAATCTTTGCAGAAAATAATAATTTTGACGGTATATAAGTCAGATAACGCATATTTTAAGGTTTTTATTGTCGTAAAACACAGACTGGGGTGTCATGATTGTTTAAAGAAAGACCTCTCTACGGTCGGTCTTTCATTTTAACATTCCTGACACCCCTCGTATTGACTTCTCCCTGTCCATACAAAAGAAAAGGTTCCCTGCTTTCAAAAAGAAATTCATACTTTCTACCTCAATTCATACATTGTTCTATTTGATTGTATTTAAACTAACTTATGTTTCGTCATGCTTGCCTAAAGATAGAGACTAAACCGAAATAAACATATGGTATAGAATTTCTAAAAACTCGTGTCTGTTTCAATGTCTTGTATAGACTATCTCAATGTGTATGTCAATGTTGTTGAGCTTGTATTTCAATTTAAATACACAATCTCGTGTCTGTTTCAATGTCTTATATAGACCTTTTCAATGTGTATTTAAAAGTTGTTGTCTGAATGAGATGGTACATCAATTTAAATACACAATCGCTTTTAAAAGGAGTAGAGTTTTAATGAATTGATACGAAATCATACTTTCCATTTGAAAATTCGGAAAAAAAGAGGCGGAATATTTGAAGGGGACATTCAAAACTGTTAGTCTAACTATTATTCATTGCATCTCATTTGTTTTGCAAGGCAATGAAGGGTCTAATCATTTTGAGGTGTGAGATTGTTAAAAAAAGTTGTTTCTATATCTGGAAAATGTTAATCCGCTCTCCACTGTATGCGCGAATAACATCGGAAACACCAACTGTGAGACTCAAAATTATATTTGAATCCCATTTTCTTATTCAAATCTGAACCACAATGCAATCCCTATAATGATTTTCTAATTTGAAATTGCGGTTTAGCAGTTGTATACTTGCTATCAATTTATGATTTCCTTTTCACAAACAGATCATCGTGTTGACTTTCTGTAAGCCTCTGAAAAGCAACATTATGCTAAAGTCATGTGAAGTATCAGTATCAGGTTCCTTTCTCTCGGTTCAGTGAGTTACTTGCAATACATGCTGAATGATACAGTGCCCTTTCCTTGATATTATCGATGGAGATTGAATCGAATACGTCATGATGACTTAAGACCCTTTGTTTGTGGTCTAGGAATATAGTTCCCAATTGTTATATTTCGGTTTTCTTTCTGATGTTTCTCCATACTGTTTTCTTTGAAAATTTATCAATTTAGTGGTCCTATAAGTTGCATAAATAATAGTTCATTAGAATAATAATGGTATATAAGTAAAAGAATTAATGTTTGAACCAGTGCAATTTCTTTTATTTAATTTGACTTTTACAAAGAAAAGTGTTATAGCCAATTGTGAAGATAATTGTGGTCTTAGGCCTGAACACGACAATATACACTATCTTGTCGCATAAATATAAATTATAACCTTTTCTCACCTTAGCAGCAATATACTGACTTCAACCACGTATGTAGTATACATTTTTCAACTCATACGATATTCAAGAGCTTGCAGCTGTTGCTCAGACTTTGTAAAACGCCATTGGTGTCTGGGGAAAAATTGATTATCCAGGATTGTGTCAAAAAACGTCTCGTCCCTTTTCTCAAAAAGTCAATCGGAAAGTACCCAGACCTAATAGATAAATATTCAGTGTCTACTTCACAAAAATACAAGATGGTCTTGAGTTATAGATTCTATGTGCTTAAGTGTATCTTTTTATTTTACTTTAGTTTCTCCTTGATTTGTCTTCGTGCTATTATGATTTTTTTTTACGTATGACTATTGACGTGACTCGGTATTTATACACCCGACATCGGGTTTTTGAATTTTAAACCAATCACTCCTGGTGCAGGTGGGTCCTGAGGTGCGATTCGGACACAGAGGGTTTTAACAGTGTTGTTTCTATTTTGTTTACCCTTGTATTTAATTAAATTTTACTTCATCGAGAAAGTGTATATACTATATACGGTATGTGCTATCAATGACAAACTATTTTTTGTTGTTGACCGCCATTGTCAAATTTAAAATCTATCTACTACATTTTTTGTGTTGGCTTCTTAGATAAACTTGTATGTTTGTTTGAATTTTTTAGTCAGCTGTGTTGTATGTCTGTGATGAATGTTTACAGTTTTGGTTGCTTGATCCCAATTATTGTCACATAACTTCCTTTGCTTATGTTGATTAAAAGCGGATTTTGTCAGTTTTTATGGACTTCCCTTTTATGAGTTTGCCTTGGAGTATTTTTGTTTAACTTTTTTTATCCTTATATGATGTGCAAATATACTTATATGATGTGCATATATCCTTATATGATGTGCAAAAATACTTAATATACGATGTGCAAGTATACTTACACAATGTTTTATATTATGTGCATGTAACATTATATGATATGGTTCGGTTTACTTCATTATATGATGTCAAAACGTCCTTATATGAAGTGCATATACGAATGAAAGGAGATATGGGATAAACTTCAACTCGGTGCAGTACATTTACGCGCAGCTTTAAATTACTTTTTCGCACATTCATTTTACAGCTCCAACTAGAAAGTAGCCCGCAACATAAAAGAAATGGTAATTTCGATAGAAGCCGATCATACACACCTGCAGACTCAAGGTATCGAACTGTAAAAAGGACTAAGGTACCGATCATCATTTTTTTTTTTTTTATTGGGTGGGAAGGGGAGGGTATTTTTTTTTGTTTGAAATTAAAAAAAGAATGTTACTTCTGTGTGTTGTTGAGAGAAAAAAAATAGTTCAATTTTTATTAAAGACGAAAAACATGTTTTTCCTAAGCCAAAGACAAAAAGAAAGTCGGCGCCTAACTGAACATAAAAAAAAATTCATTAATTTTTATAAATTTGTTCAACAGTTACTGTCATTGTGTTACAGATATGTAAGGCTATTTGAGCTATTCTCGTCATTTTACATACGTGCAAATATGCAGAATGTAAAGATCTATACCTACTTCCTATTTCCAACAAACATATTATTGCAATGGTGAATGTGTATTGTTGATGACGTGACCACCACGTAGCCACTGAATGTGTTGGAAATCAACCATTTTTAATAAATAAAAAATTACTGATACCGACACAATATCAGATTTAAAGGCAAAATAACCGGACTTCTGTTTTTACATCTTAAAATAAAGTAGACGGGCGGCACATAAAAACTGGATTCAATATAAATATTTATAAAAGCAGATGTTGGATATGAGTCAATGAGACTATACCCAACTACACAAAGAATCAATAGACATCGACAGGTCAACCAAAACACGGTCTTTAACAATGGACAAGTATCTTTACATATCAAAACCATCCAAAGTCGAATAAAAGGGTGTATGAACTTAACAGATAACCAAAGGTCTACCATCAGCACCAAAGTGCCCAGATGACAAAAAACATTAACATGCAAAAAAAGACTATCAATGATTGGGCTCCTGATTCCGGACAGGGACAAACATATTATGTGGAGAATTTAATATTTGAGATCTCAATCTCCCGTTTAAATATGGAGAGGTCGAATAACAAAAGGTTAAACTTATAAATGAAATTTGTATAAGTATGTGCCATACATTATTTTTTAATGATAACTATGTATTTCCTATTTTTTGACTTTAGATATCGTATATGACTGTATAAAAGTTATAATGACATTACTTTTTCTTGCATTTTTTTTAATTTTTTTAATGTATGTCTTACGTTATATAGATTTGTACGTACATGCTAGTCTTGCAACATCAATCCCTTCTTTTGCTCTTCATATTATTTACATGTATTTGTTTGACCTATTTTGTATTATGGTATGTTGTGAAATATTCATATTAAGTTAACAGTACAATTTTCTTGGATATGAGACGTTGATGATATTTTATTATGCAATATTTCAAATGAACAATAAAGACATTTCGGGTCAATCTACATCCTAAGTCAAATATCATGACCACAGAAAAAAGATCATCAAAGACAGACTCCGCTAAACCAGGTTATTTCAGGTTCCCTGTTAAGGAACGCAATGCATGCTCAACTAGTGGTACTCGTCCTAATGCATAAAAATGCAGATAAGTTGTATTCCTTGATTTTTAAAATGGACCTAAGTTGTATATAGAAATGATCAAGTAAAATGCGATCCATATAAATTTGTATTTGTCACTTGAAAAAACATTTTTAAAGGTTATCAATATAGCATTGTAGTAAGTTTAAAAAAGAAAACTCGTCTAAGTAACTCAAAGTGATCGTTAGTTTATATATCCTTGGGTTAATTGGATAGCTGTCTAATTGTTCATCATACCGCATCTTTCATTATTATCCTGACAGTGAAAAATAAACCAAATGTAGTTGTCTTATAAATCAAACCAAGCAGGGTAACTATCATGGCTGCTTTATTCAAGACATGGACTTCAAAAAATCAATTAACCATGGTAAAAGGTCAGTGTCAAAAGACACCTGTCAGGTATACCTGTTGACAGATTTATCAAGTACTTAAGCAAAATGTAGAAACACTGATTTCCAATAAAACGTTCATGTATATGTTTAAGGGTCGACTAGTCATGAAATGTTAACGTGTGTATTTCGGGACTGATTAATTTTTTTTTTTTAAAAGATTTTTTGTGTTTTTAACGCCACTTTTAAGCACCGCTTTTGGTCTATTTCGTGGCGGCCAGTTTTTATTAGTGGAGGAAGCCGGAGTGCCCGGAGAAAACCACCGACCTTCGATAGGAAAACTGACAATCCTAGTCAATTAAGGTTGGAGTCGAGTGCACCCGCACGAGCGGGGTTCGAACTCACAACATCAGTATTGACTGGCTAGTGATTACAGTAGTATTTACTTAGACCACTCGGCCACCGAGGCCCCCTGATTAATTATTAAAAGCTAACATACCTATTTGAGGCTGTGGGTTCATATGATAACTCCACTGATAAGGGGACTGCCAGTTGGTTTGTATTATTTGTTGACTCTGAGGAAAACTTTGGACCTCTGTATAATTAGAAGACGAATATGAGTACGGATGGTAATTGAAG